GTATTAAATAATCAGTGTTTGGATATAAGGCAGATGTTTAGGAGCCTAGACTGAGCATAATCCTTTCTCTCTGAAAGACCAAATAAATACATATATGTTACATATACATACACAGACATGTTTTGGTAAAAGTTAATGACAGGAGTTGGAGTTAAAATGGGTCCTTCTGTTAAATTTGTAGTCAGTACAGTATGTTTCATTCACTTTGAAACATTCTACCAGTCCGAGAGAAATTTCTTGTATTCCGTGTAACAGCGTTGTTGTAGCTATGAGATCTGATGTTATAAATACGGACAAGGTCTGTCAAAAGAGGTAATATATTTAAACTGACATCTTTGTTTAGCTGGAAAGAAGCAAATACTGTTGGAAAACACTATCCCATCCCCTGCCCCTGCCAGCTGCTTTAATGAAGATACCACCCCAACCTACAAATATCTTTTTCCCAAGTGAGATGATTATCAGGAGAATCCAGACTTCCAAGGAACCAGAAAACTGCAAATATTAGAATTGGTAGAGGATTTGGATAAACAGTTTTTCACTGAAAATCTGTTGAAAATGTGATTGCTGGGCTTTTTGCAATGTGATGTTTGGTGTAATTCTTGTGGGGAGAAGACTCAGTCCCATGGAGGTTTGAACCTGCAATTCACTTTGATTTCAGGGTCTTTCACTTTGATTTCCAGTTCATCAAAGAATCTTAAGAATTTAGTTCCTTTGATGTGAATGTTTTAAGCTCATGCTAAAGTAAAGCTACTGCTTATGTGCTTTTCTGAACTAGCATCCTAGGTAGGGGCTAAAGATCAAATTAATTTGTCGGACTAAGTTGCACTGTGTGTTGTCCTGGCCATCTTGCAATTTTCCCCTTGCAGCTAAACTAGTAAATGGAAACAGTTTCTAGAAGCTTAATCTTGTAAACTAATTTAAGGGATAAGTAAACAAAATAACTAGATTAAGATTTCAATCAAGTAAATACTGAAGGTTTCTACAAAAGACAGAGTATTTTAATATTGGGTTGGGGTTTTTTTGCCTCATCCTTAAAAAGCAGTAACTCTTAGCATAGACAATGTAATTTTTCCTTCAGGCTAATTCTGATACTTTCCTCCCAGATGAGCTGACTGAGGACACTACAGAACCAAATATCCCATTGTAAATGTATCATCTTCAAGGCTCACTCAGAAATCTGTTGAGCTGGAAAATAGCTGCCTTTTACGTATATATACCTTCACAAGCACATTTAGCACCATGACAGCAGAGGGTGGATGATGCTCAAAAAACCCAGATAACAACAATTTGCCATCTCAGGTGCTTGTTGGCAGAGCTGAGATCTAGGGGTAAAGATTAACATTTGTGTGTGATTTAGACTGTATGAAATTTCAGCTTCAAATCCGGAAGAGCGTAGGTAGCTCTTCGCTTTTGTACAATACTTCTGTCTGTTGCCATGTGGACCTCATCACCTTGGCCAAAATTTCTGTCTCCCCTTACTGCCCTGCAGGCCACTGTGCATGTTGCACGTTCTTGTTCAGCAGCCCAGGTGTGACCATGTGCCAGTGGTGCAGCTTATACAGTAGCTTGTTCGTACAGTCCTTGTGGTCTGTTAGGATGAAAGACAACGTGTAAATTCAAAACACTATTACAGAAGTAGGATGCAGTTTGATATACCACAGAATTATATGCCTGATTACTGTCCCTCCTGTAACCTTTCACTGTGATTTCAATTTGGTTTTTTTTTTAGAAAGGTGTGTCTGTGTTCAATGTTACAAAGTCTGGGCACTGTATCTCACTAAAAATAATCTGGAAAATAGTCTAACTCTAAGCAGGGCTAATGGCAAATCCAATTAATAAAAAGGGTAGCTTTTTGCTGCTTGTTAAACTGGGTGGGTTCCTCTGGCACTCCTTCCTGACGGAGCTTCTCTCTGTCACTTGTCAGTGACCAAGAGGATTCAGAAACATCATCCATGAGAGGGCTTGTGCCCTACCTTGAATGAAAAGTCCTGAGCTTGTTTCTCCATAGGAAGGTGTTCCCTAAGAATACAGTCTGAAATGTGTGATTCAACAGAAGCTAAATTGAGTCAAATACGTGTGCCCCTTCCCAATGTATTAACTCACTGCCATTTTCTTCTTATTAAAGAAATAGTTGGAAATACCTGCCATTTTTTGGTGACTGCCACCCAAAGTAATGGTAGTGCCACCAGAACATCTTACCACAATAGAGCTTTTATTTCAGTACAGAATAATTATTTGGCTTTGGTGTTATATTCCTTGTAGCTGGATAACCATTTTAATATGCTAAAATATGTTTGTCCTGCTCAATAGCAATTTGTTCTGAAACTGCTTGCACGCCTGCTGGGCCAGCTACATGAATTCAAGGCAGACTCCATTTTTCGCACCTAAAAATGATGATGTGGAAAACCGGTTTGCAAAATCTAAAGCATTCAAAATGCTCTGTGCAGTTTTACAGGAGAAGCCAAGGGACTTTGGAAAATCTAGACTTTGATTTGTATGCTACAATACATTTTAGTCGGATTATTAAAGTCTGTATCGGCCTCAGCATATCCTGGATCACTTCAGTATTACATAAATAAACTAAATGCACAGCCTGGCAAATAATCAGATCAGGTCATCCGTGACGACACGACTCAATCTTGGTTTCGTAGCTTAAAATAATGTTCCTTGCTTTCATATGCTTCCTCATGTTAACAGCTGCAAGTGATAATAGTCTCTCTGAACCAGCACTGTTCCCGAGATAATTGATAGTAACACTTGTGTGTAAATATACTAATATACTGGCTGTTAGCACTAAGGTTCAGGAGATTTAAACTCTCTGGTTCAATTCTTACTGCTTTCATTGACTTGTACAGTAATTTGTGCGCTCAACTCCTCTCTGCTTCCATTTATAAGTCCAAAAAGACAGGTAACTAAAGAGAGCTCAACAGGCAACTTAAGTTAGTGTTTTTAAGGTGGTTTGAGATCCCCCTGTTAGCATGCTAACAGATGCCTGTTAGCATGTCTGCAGCTAGTGCTTGTACAGAGTTGGCCGTGGTTCATACAGGTTGCTGGTCTGTGAGCAAAAGACTCCCACAGAAGAAAACTAAGGATGTTGTGGTTTTAGTCTATCTAAAGAGGTAGGTGGGAAATATGGTAGACTATAATTTATTGATTACAGAATCAGTATCAGAAACTTTTCTTCTTGAATAGTCATTCTCGTAAGGTGAGAGAGGTGAGAATAGTCAGGATTTGTTTCCTAATGCCAGTTGTACAGGTTAAATGGGTAGGAAGGCTTTCCCTATGCCTCCAGTTTCCCATCACTCTAAACCTTATCTCCCCAAACCAGGAACTCAGCCCTGTTCCCCTCCACATCTCTGACTGCACAGCCCACGTCTCTGCTCCTTGCTCCTCATGGCTTCACTGTTTATCACCGGTTTCTTATCTGCCGCTACACATCTGCACATCCCCTGTCCCCACTCTTTGCATCTCCCTGTCAGGGGAAGGTCTTTTTTTCAGGAGGATGGTCACAGGATGGAGTTGCAGGGGGCTGCCTGCCCTGCCACAGCCTGGCCGGCGTGGGCGGGAGGAGGAGGAGGAGGAAGGTCCTCTCTCCGCTCCTGTCCGAGCCACCTGAATTGCCCGGTGGGCGAGTGCTGGGCAGGCTGCTCACGCCTCTGCAGAGCAGGACTACGACAACGCAGAGTACCGCTGCCGGCAGCGGTGTCGGGCTTTACTATAACCTTTCATTTCCTTACTCTCAAACTTGTAGCAATAGGGTTTTTTTAAAAAACTAAGCTCGGCTTAAAGTTTTGTGTATTTGGTTTTTGGTGGGGGTTTTTTTGTTGGCTTTTTTCGGGTTTTTTTTTGTTTGGTTTTTGTTTTTTTTTTTTTTAATGCTAGAACGGTTCAAAGACCGTCAGCCGCGGGCAGGG